TTTCTTCTTCTTCTTCTTCTTCTTCTTCTTCTTCTTCTTCTTCTTTCTTTTTCTTTTCTTTTCTTTTCTTTTTTTTTTTTTTTTTTTTTGGTGTTTTGGGGACAGGGTTGGTTTCTTTGTGTAACAGCCCTACCTATCCTGGAACTCTATTTGTAGGTCAGGCTGGCCTCAAACTCAAAGATATACACCTACCTCTGCCACCTGTTTGCTAGAATTAAAGGAGTGCGCCACCACTACTCAGCCTGTATCTTGATATTTATATCTTGCCTTTGTATTGTGACCTTTCCTTTCCTTATTTGATGAGTCCCAAATATTAAGTCAGGGATTTTGAAAGAAGGACCAAACGGAAGAAAAAGAATTACAATCATAAGTCACATCTGAAGATCTGTGTCCTCTAGTCTCTGTCTCTGTCTCTCCTCTCTAGTGGGTATAGGTAGGTAAGTATGTTTACATGGAGGCCACCCTCAGATGTCATTCCTCATGCCTGGGCTTGCCAATTAGGGCAGCTTGACTGGCTGGTAAGCCCTTGTCTGTCTCTACCTCTCCAGCACTAGAATTACAAGCATATTATGTCACTCACAGCTTTTTATGTGGCTTCTCCATTGAACTCAGGTCCTCATGTTTGCATAGCAAGGACTTTACCAACTGAGCTGTCTTCCCAAAGATCATTGTTTCTTATAAACAGAATGTCTAAATGAATTTGTGGTAAAATGTGTTTCATTGTATAGTAAATGTATTTAAAGTCCTGTGCTGCTTAGTTCCATCTGAAAAGGAAGCCTTTAACTTTTTAGTATTAAATCTGTTACAGATTGAGAAAACAGTGTTTAACATTTACAAGGAATAGGGCTGGAGAACTAGTGCAGCAGTTAAGAACACTTGATGCTCTTGGAGAGGACCCAGGTTCTGTCCCTATCTGTCTAAGCCGTTTTCATGTTTTAATGAGATGATGGCTTGAATTAATTTGCTAAAATAGCTTATTTTTCTCCAGTTTATTTAACTAAAGATATATTGAACAGTATCTCTGATTTAGGTTATCATGAAGCTTTTTTTTTTTTTTTTTTTTTAACTTGTTTTGGTATTCTTGATCCTAGCATGAGATTTTTAAGGTTAGATAGTGCAGTGGAAATTCTATACTAAGGGTGGAGATATGGCTGTGTGGCTAAGGGCACTGGCTCTTCAGCCAGAGGACCTGAATTTAATTCCCAGCACCTACATGGAAGCTCACAGTTGCCTATATCTTCAGTTTTAGGGGCTCCAATCCTCTCTTCTAGTCTCCGTAGACACTATGTGATGTGCATACATGCACACAAAACACTCGCACATGTAAAAATAAATTTTAAATCTATGACTTTCTGCTCAGTGGTGGTGGTGCATGCCTTTAATCCCAGCGCTGAGGAGACAGAGGCAAGGGGATCTTTGTCCATTCAAGGCCAGCCTGATCTACAGAGCAGGTTCCAGGACAGCCAGGACTGTTACACAGAGAAACTCTGTCTCTAACCCCCCCCTCCAAAAAAAAAAAAAAAAAAAAAAAAAAACTACGACTTTCCAAGTAGTAATGTTAGCCACAGAGATTTGGTCATTTTAATAGTAGATGTTGTATACTCAGATGATACATACTATGTATGTTTAAGGATCAGAGACCTAGACAGAAGTAAGATGAGCCTATTTCATGTGTTCAGGGTGAATACTTATTTTTGTTTTGTTTACTTCAGAGGAATTATCATGGAACTTTTGACAGGGTATAGTTTAAAACACATTCAGACTAATAGTTACCTTAACAGATGTGCCGTGTGTATGTTTGTGTGTGTGTGTTTTGTTGCTTTTGTCAATGTAGTGACTGTTTTTGCGCTTCGTACAAATATGAGCAGCAAAAATAAAGCTACCTCACATAGGTAAGAAAAGTAATATATGTAAAGGCTGTTTTTATTTTTCTATTGGCTTTCCGAGTTTGAGAGCCTTTTGTTTTGTTTTATTTTGATTTTTTTGAGACAGGGTTTCTCAATGTCATCCTGGCTGTCCTGGAACTTGCTCCATAGACTAGAGTGGCCACATCTGCCTCTTCTTCCCAAGTGCTGGGATTAAAGGTGTGGACAACCACATCCCATGCCTGGATAGAGCTTCCTTTTTGGAATGGGGTCTTGCTTAGGCTAAACTCAGATTTGCCATCCTCCTACCTCATCCTCCTGGGTAACTGGAATTGTATGTGGGTGCCACAATACCCAGTTGGAGATCCTTTTTTGAGTTGTTCATATTAGATAGTGAGATTGTAGAGGTTTTGTTGATTAACTCACAATGACAAGAAACTCAACCAAGTTACATGTTTAGAATATTTAAAATATACGGAGTCTAGAACTGCTCGGGTCAACCTGATGCATTATTCAAGTAGATGGCACAGAATCTGCTTCCTTGTTACTATGCCCTGCTTTTCACTTCCTGCTCAATGACTGAGTTTTGAGCATAAATTTCCTGCTCGTCTAGAAGATAACGTAGCTGAAAATGAAATCTACCTTTGCATTTCCCCTTGGTAAAACCTTATTGGTTTAGCTTTACTTGTCAGCATTATTTGGAATATGTAATGGAAAGCCATTACTACAAATTGAATTGTTCACATTTGAATCAAACCTCATAGACACAGGTATAGTGTTACTCTCAGTTGGCAGTACCTAGCTGTTGATTACCTAAAGAGGCTTCTGTTTCCAGCTATGCTACTAAATGGGTGTGTTCTCTGCTCTGTTATACCCATTCTTTTAGAACTTGTCTGCTTTACATTTCACTTGGACAATATAGAGAGCCAAAACATCATCAAATGTCAGTACTGAAGGTTTTATGTGAAAGACTAAAGAGACCTAAGATGTTTGGCCTTGAGATCAATGGTCAGACCTAGTAAAAAAGAATTTATTTTAATTCAGATGTCAAACCAAGTGTACTTTACCATACTAATTAGCTCTATCATGCAGGAATGTAGCCTAGGAAAGGGAGAGATTTCCCAGGGGTTAAGAGTCATTTTATTTTGTATTATGCATAGCCCAGGCCAGTAAGGGGACCATTAACATCATGCATTCTCTAGAACCATTTTAGATTCTTTTAAATTGAAGTTGTATGGAACAGTGAATTTTGATTCATGCCTTCTCTGCTTCCCACCTGCACTGTCATTTATTACCCATCTACTCTTTCCTAACATTCTTTATCTTTTCATCATAGTTTAATTTCCTTTTTATTTCTGTCTATTAAGCTTTCTTCTGCCTGGCACTATGTAACCTACAGACAGACCCATAGGTGAGAGGGCAGTATAGGTCAGTATGACCCATAGAAAATAATCAGTGATCTTGTAGGCTGTGAAAGTGTCTGGATACAGAGGTGCCTGAGACTTGTGAAACATTCTCTAAGGAAATGTATGCCAAAGGGTGTGGACTCTTGCTTGCCCTTTTCCTCTTTCAGGGTTGGCCTAGAATATGGCATTGCTGCTCTTTTTTTTTTTCTTTGTGCTTGAGAGCTTATCCATTGACCCAGTATAGCCTGTTAAAAGATTTCATCTCTTTGCACCATTTCTTTCCAAAACTAGCTCTTGCTTGTGCTTGAGTTTCAGAGAAAGGCACCCTGAAGGGAGCCGTCAGTCTTTCTGGGTTGGGTGGTCAGATGTGCCTTCCTTGGACACTGAAAAATCGCTTTTTGCCTTTTTGGATTTGCTCAGTTCTAACTTCCTGGCTTCATATGTCCAAAGATCCTGAGATTCAAGCTACTTCACACTATTTACTTTCCCTTGTGCCTCTGCTGCAGCATCTGCCACTCATACTCTGCTGCTTCTTGGCTTCTGGTACGTGTATGCGCATATTTTAATGAACAAAGTGGACTTTTACTCAGAAAATTCCCATATTTTTCTGGAGTTGTTCATAGACCTATTGTAAACACCTCTTAACCAGAATGGTACATTTGTTACAGTTACATTTTGTTGTTGTTTAAGTTTTTTTTTTTTTTTTTTTTTTTTTTTTTTTTTTTTGAGACTGAGATCTCTCTTTGTAGTCCTGACTATCCTGAAACTCCCAGGCTGGCCTTAAACAGAGATTTACATGTGTCTGCCTCCCAAGTGCTGAGATTAAAGGCATGTACCACCACTCTCTCAAGTTTGCAGTTATAATCCTGCTTATAGGTGTGGATAGGTGTATGTCAATATGCTTGTGGATATGCATGTTTATGGGGTGGTAGTGCACATGTGTGCTTGTGGAAGCCAAAGGTCAGCCTCTGGAGCCATCCATCTTGTTTTTCTGGGCTAAGTATCTATCTGATCACCAAGTAGGCTAGCCAGTAAACCCCAAGGATTTACTTGTCTCTTCCCAGATCTGGGATTACAAACATGTACCTACATCAACTGAGCTATGTCCCCAACCTACAGTTTAACTGTTTGTATGTCTGTATGTGTGCATGTGAAGGCAGAGGTCACTGTCAGTGCCTTACTTAGTTAATCTTCACTTGATATTTTTGATAAGGGATCTCATATGGAGTGAACTGCTTTGTCTAGAATGGCTGGCCAAGTGAGCTCCAGGAATCTGCCTGTCTCTGTCTTCTTGAACCACAGGTTGTTTACTGACTAAACCCACCTCCTTAGCTCCCTGTAATTATTTTAATCATCCTTTGGAAATATACTGAATGGAAAAGAGCTATTGACTTAATGAAAATTATGCAGTATGGGACGGTGGCTCATGCCTGTAACCCTAGCACTTGGGAGATTGAAGCAGGAAGATTGCTATGAGTTGGAAGTTATCCAGGGTTATAGTGTACAACCTGTCTCCAGAAATTTTAAAAAAAAAAAAAAAAAAGGCAGGAAAAATTTGCATCTAGCTACCTTCATTTGCTCTAGATTTTTTGATTGGTTAATAGAATTTCAACCAGAAATCGGCAGATAGGCAGACATCTAGCTGTAATTGTTGTGAAAGAATCCAAAACGGGAATATAGCCACTATTTTTTTTTTATGAATATTGATATCAGCCTTTTCTCTTTATAGTTGCTCTAGGTCGTAACCAGCCTTTGAAAAAGGAGAAACCAAAATGGAAAAGTGATTATCCCATGACAGATGGACAACTGCGCAGCAAGAGGGATGAATTTTGGGACACTGCACCAGCTTTTGAAGGCCGGAAAGAGATCTGGGATGCCTTGAAGGCTGCTGCCCATGCCTTTGAAAGCAATGATCATGAACTGGCACAGGCAATCATTGACGGTGCAAACATAACACTACCACACGGTAGGTTTGGCATCCTGATGACAAAGAAGAAGCACAGTCACTTTGTCTTCAGTATGGGAACCACCTAAGGGGAAGCTTCTGTTTTCTTCTACACAGTATTCTAATTCTTTTTATTATAGTAAAAAATAGCTCTTTTTCTTCTTCCTATTATATCTTTCAGCTGGTGGTAGTTTGTGTCTTCATTCATTTTTATGTTTCTTAATCTCAGAAAAGAGAATATTTGACAACTATTTTTTAGTTTCTGTGTGACTTAGTTTTCTGTAGAAATAAGTCCTCTTGTCTGTACCGTGCGCATCCCTGCCCAGCAGTAGTTGTTGCTGTTTCCTTTACTTTCCTGCCAGAACTGGGGAGTCTCAATTTAGATTTTATAAAGTGCAGAGGCTTCATGGATGTTCCTTTGTCATCATGCTTCCACATCATTTACTGTGAGCAGACCTAAACTTTGAAGTTCATTTTTTTAAGTTATTATTTAGGTGGGAGGGGAGACCACAGGACAGATATCTCAGTGGTTGCTGTTCTTGCAGAGGAACTGTGTTCTGTCCCCAACCATTTGGTGGCTCACAAGTGTCTGTAACTCTAGCTCCAGGGAAATCTGATGCCTTCTGGCTTCTGCAGGCACTGCATGTATGTTGTGCATATGCATACATTCATACATGATTACATATGTTTAGGCAAATGCTGGTACATATAAAAATAAAATAAAAATCTCTTTTAAAACATGTATTTTTATTTTCTGTGTATGGGTATTTTTGTCACATGGGTGCTGGGAAACCAAGCCCATGTCCTCTGGAAGACCAGCAACAGCTCTTAACTACTAAGCCACCTTTTCTGCCCCAACTTCAAAATTTTTAAGGGTAGTTTTCCATGATGGTAGCCATGGGTCTTATAAGACCCATGCTTTAGAAATGGGTCTTTCTTGCTTTAGTGTATATGTATTTAGGGATACTAGACTTGTGCACATACCCTTGTATGGTGCTGAGGTTTAGGTATTAGTTTCATATCTGTACTCTTTGTTCTTTTGCTTTATGTATTGTTGTTTTTCTCTTTAGCTTTACTAACTTAGTATCTTTCTAGGTTGTGTCCTCTGACCTATGTAAGGGATAACCACCTACATTTGCTGTTCTCTGTTCATTATTATGCCACTGTTCTCTTCCCTGATGCCTTTTTTACTTGTGTCCATTTGTAAAGGAGCAATGCTTTAGTAATTTAATCATCTGCAGAGTATCCTTTGACTTCTTGTCTAATGCAGAATGTTTTACTTATGGACCTTGCCAACTTTCCAGGCCCTATTATACTCTAATTAGCTGTGCTTCTAAGAATCATTCTTGTTTTATGACTATCTGTTATTTATTATGAGCACTTATTAGCATGAGCTTTTATCACTAACATTTATTGAACATCCACTTTTCCCACACATGTAAAATTGTGGGAAGTATATTTGAAGTATCTGAATAGAGTGCTATTTCAACATGCCTACTTAGTGCCAGTTTTCATGGCTAGTGCTTAAATTCTTTACTTCTTCCTTATGGTTGTAGATTAGGAGGTGGTGGTGTAGTCTTCCATCTGTTCCTTCAGCTACCCCATAATTGTGACAAAGAATAAAGGTTCATTCTGCTTTCACATACTTGTGTTACCTATTTCTAATGCTCACATCCCTCATTTCCCAAGCAGAATCTGTTATGTAGGCCTGCAAGTGTCTGTAAGGAGGGTCATGTTTATATCTAGAACTCCCAGAACTTTGACTTCCTCATTTTATATTTAACATAGTTACCTATAGTGAATTATGTTCTCCAAATTTTGGCTTCATTTAAAAGCTCATGGAGGCAGGGATCAATGAGATGTCTTAGCAGGTGAAGGTGTTTACCATCAAGCCTGATGACATGTGAGTTCAACACAGTGGGAGGAAAGAGAACCAACTCCCAGGTTGTCTTCTGACATCCATATGTGTGTTGTGACATGCACACACACAATAAATGTCATAAACGCAATGTATCTGTGTCCTATACAGACATGGTCTGTGCATATCCTATTGAGTATAGATTCCAATCTCTAAAGATTTAAATCTCATTTCTGCTTATCTACCTGAACTGTCAAGAAAAACAATGTTGCAATGCTAGGTGTGGTGGTGCACACCTTTAATCCCAGCATTCAGGAGGCAGAGGCAGGTAGATCTCTGAGTTTGAGGCCAGCCTGGTCTACAGAGTGAGTTCCAGGACAGTCAGGGCTTCATAGAGAAACCCTGACTCGAAAAACCAAAGGAAAGAAAGATACATTCCGCATAAGCATGGAAGAACCACACTGATGTCTGAGCATTCTTCTCTCTAATGAATTGTAACTTCTTGTAGGTAATAATGTTTTGTCATTGGCATCTGAGTGTTAACTTGTTTTTCTCTGAAGCTTATCAGTGGTATTTCTTGGTGAGCCTATCAATTATGCTGTCATATAATCCTAATTTGCCATCAGTTATAATTCAGCTACTTAATTGGATGTTTTTAGATCTGCTCAGTGGTAGGTTTTGACTGTGCTTCTTCTTTAGTAATTAAAGCTGTGTGACTTTAAACAAATCACTTCTGAGACCTTTAGTTCTCTTTGTCATATGTGGTGAACTGTGGTAACCATCTGTCTGGTTGGTTGTCGCATTGATTCAGTATGATACTTGAGTCATTTACCATAATGCCTGGTCTTCCAAAGGCACTTAATAAACATTGAGGCTGGTAAGTTTAATTTTTTCACACTGGACTCTGGCACTGACAGGTAAATTCCCTGCACCAGCCTTGACTCACAGATTCTGACTTAGCATATCTACTGAGGCCTGTTTGCTTTAGAGGACTCTTGCTTTTGGCCACACTTCTTCTTATAATCTCCTAGTCTTATAAGAACCTTTTCTTTATAGTTTTTATAGCATTTAAAAAAGTCAATTTCCTTAAATTCTTTTTCTCATGGTTTGCTATTCTGCCATTATATAAAAGTTCTATTAAAAAAAAATGTGGTTTTTGTTTTGTTTTTTTTGGGGGGGGGTTTAAGAAAAGATAGTTGTAAGACAGGTGGATGGGTGGGTGTGTGAACTTGGAACAAAAATCAGTAGCAGTCCCCATGGGAAAATTGAAACAAGGAGAGTTTATATCTTTACATGTATAAATCATGGAACTGAGATTTGAACTAAGAGTAACAAAAGCATCTTTGATTCATACTTAGTACAAAGTTTCAGATCTGTAAATTTGTTAAAGCCCTTACACAAGTCCTTTTCATGGATATTTTTACAATATTACACAAGTTGATAGTTTTGGTACTTTGCCTGTCACCTAAAATGCTTTAAAACAATAGACTTTTATTTATGCTAAAGAGAAACAGTACATTTTCTTAACACACAAATGGACAGGGAATCATATGTATAGGCCTTTCTGTTTCTCTTAGGTATCTCTGAAGGCCATTAAAAACAGGCCAGGATGCTAACCATAGTGGCACACATTTTTAATCCCAGCACTCAGGAGGCATAAGCAGGTGAATCTCTGTGCAAGTTCAGCCTGGTCTACATAATGAGATCCAGACCAGCCAATGCTGCATAGAGAGACCCTGTCTCATAAAGAAAGGCAGGCCATGGGGTTCAGTGGTTAACAGCACTGAGTGTTCTTCCAGAGGACTCTGGTTCAATTTCTAAGTACCTACATGGTGTCTCATAATGTTTGTAATTTCAGATTGGTGGATCCCACCCTCTTTTGACCTCTGTGGAGACTGTACACAAATAATACACCAGTATATGTGTAGACAAAACACCAATACACATAAAATAAAAATGAATAATTTTTAAGCCAATCCAGAGGGACCAAGGAGATGTCTCAGTGAGGCAAGCCTTATGGCCTGAGTGTGATCCCTGGAACCCATGTAAAAGCCAGATATAGTGGCACACATTTAGCCTGGAGTATACTTTGGAACAGCAGGAACAAGAGAACCTGCCTTCAAACTAGGTAGAAGGCAGGAACTGACTTATGAAAGTTGTCCACTGGCCCAGACACACAATGTTTTGTTGGTTTGTTTTGTTTTGTTTTGTTTTGTTTTAATTAAAAATAGGACAAAAAAAAAAAAAACTTGAAGAATAGACATGATACATGTCTGTACTCCTGGCACTTGGGAGGATGAAGCAAGAGGATTTGAACCTACCTAGAAAAAAAAAATCCAGGAAATTTGGTTGCTTTAAAGGTTCTAAAGAATGGATGCATAATTATGATATAGTTATTTTTTTCACAGGTGATTTTTGCTTGGCTGTTGTAGTGTTTAGAAATGAAACAGGACCTTAATTAGGAGCCTGGTGCGTGATTAATCACAAATGTTAATCACTCTTCTTTCTGTCCTCAAGGAGACAAAGATGGTTTATAGTTACAAAATGTGAATGTGTCTGCTCATGCTCCTCTGCTGCTGTCATCCTTTTCCCTGAGTTAGAGTGATAAAGTGTGAAAATAGCTGTGTGGGAGGTTGTTCCTGAGCCAGGAGGCTTGTCTCTGAAGAAAACCTCCCTCCCATGTTGCTCTGGGGGGGTGGGGGTGGGGGAAGCAGGGTTTCTCACATCCCAAGGCGCAGCTCAACTACCACTTCTCTAAGGCCTGCTGGGCTGAAGGTGGACACTAGACACAAGTGCTTTATCCTGCTCCTCTGCCCCGTTAAGGAAGTGAAACCCTGGGCTAAAGAGTGTCCTCTGCAGCAACTCAGCTGTGTTAGTGTTTAACAATGTAAACAATCACATGACTCCAACTCCACCAGTAGGTGTTTAGCTAAAAACCACTTTTACCTCTGTTGGCTAGGAAAGATGCTAAGCCTGGTTCCTCTAGTTGCCACAGTCCTGCTGGCTGAGTCAGTGGGTGATACCTTCTACACCCAGACTCCCCGGATTCCCAGCAGTGTGTTTCCGGAAAGAAAACCTGTAGTTTGTGATTCAGGTTTGTAGACCAGCCTGTGGAGTATGAGGCAGGAGGCTGAAACTTTATAAAACTGATCCATTTATTACA